TACCTAGAGCAATCTATGCAGGGATCCTTGTGGATAAAGAGTCCAAGGACTCTATAGACATAGGAATAAGAGCGACAATTACACAGCTAAATTCAAGCCTAACTCCTTATGAAAGGTGGATTTCCTGTACAACTGTTTTGAAAAGCAGAGAATTAGGCACTTCATACATTTTGCTTCAGTAAGAGAGTCAGATATGAATCAATACAGGGAGCAAACTGCTTTTGGTAAAGTTTCCAAAGTTGTATGCCACAAGACAAATTCTGGTTCTGAAGTGAAGTTCTCAACTAGTGTCAACATGTATACATAACAATGAGTTAAAGCTCTGGAAGTCCCATATCGATAGCTGTAGTTTTCTATCTCTCTGAAGACACACAGATGGCATTCTTATAATTCAGCACTACTCACACCATAAAACAGGCAGAAGCCAGGCACGGTGGCACACCAGTAATCCTCACACTCAGGAGGTAGAAAGATAGCCAGTTCAAGGTCAGCCCAGGCTACATAGCAAGACATTGTCTTACAAAACACAAAAATAAAATAAGCAAAATCAAGCACAAATGATCATGAAAGAAAATCCAGTCTAGTTCTACTTTAATTCTGGTTCCCAAGTGTTCTCTCAAAGCAAGCAACATCAATAACACACGAAAAAGTGTCTCTTGGGTGCCCTCTTGCTGCTATCAGGGCTTTTCAGCAAAGCTGAAATGGAAACATATTCTATGAACCTGGTAGAAGAGGAAAAAGAGGAGGCCAGGGCAAGAAAAGGGAAGTTATTCCAGCAGTGGCCAATGAGTAACATCCAATGATTTATAGGAAATATAATCCAATAATAGAGTAAAATAAAACAGTGTGTGCCTGAAATGGTTTTGATTCCAAATATTATAAAACACGTTTTTAAAAGAAGATTAAGAGGGGAGAAAGAAAGGAAGAGGAGAAAGGTGGGGGTGAGGTAGGCTGGTCAGGCTGGAATAAATTGGGCACAGATGGGATGCAAAGGGGTTTCAGTGATGCCCTACCATAAATGTTGCTTCAATTATTCATCTTCAAGAACCTAGATTTGTTTCCTTAAATTACAGAATTTTTTTTAATTAAAATTCTTGGAGTGCTTGTGGTTTAGATCAACAGTTCACCCTTACCTCAAATCAGCCAATCAGATGGCTATTGCAGTATTAAATACTGAGGCATGTGGAGAAGGCCTTTTCTCCCTTCAAGCTCAGAATGCCACTGAAAGATTACCAATTGTGACATCACTCTGGAACCACCTATCTCACCACCAGTTTGGATATAGGCCAGGTAAGGAACATAGCTTTCTCGGAGCTGTGACCTTCCTCATCCATGCATTCAGCAATACTATATGCCTAATAAATACCAAAGCTCCCTAACATCCCTTGTCCAATCCCTCAAATTTATTTGTCTCCAACCACCTCAGTGTAGAGTATTAAGACTCTAGACTCTCTATAGTCCCACTAAAATAAGATCTTGCATGGGGCCCACATGATAGGAGGAAATAAAAATCTTCCCACAAACAGCCCCAACCCCATGAGTTTTAAGGTAATTGCTAAAATCTGAATGTCTGGTTGGCTAAATGGTATGTCAGAAAGCTCACATATATTCCCCCTGTGGGTGGGAAGAGAGCTGAATCTGGGTGGAAGAGAGGTCAATCTAACCTCCCAACTTCCACCTTCACTGGCAGAGTTAGCTCAAGGGAAAAGCCTTACTTAGGGAAAGATATCATTCTTTCCCCATCATCTCAGCTTCCCTCCATTTTAATTTTGAAGCATCCAAAGCTTTTAAACAGCTCTACATCCACAAAGAAAACAGATCTGAAAAATAATCACCCTGAAGTGTTAATGACAGTATGATTTCTATCCCTGGGCTACTGATATTGTGAAAAGGAGGTGGCTATTACAAAGGCAGCTTTGGAGCACAAAAATGAAAGATTCATGATAGTATAAGAGGCATAAGCAAAGGACATGCTTTTTAAGTAAGGGCTTTTCTGTTGCTCTCCAAATAATACTTCTGACCCCGCATCTTGGGGAAGACTCAAGCACAGATTGAAAGGATCTGGACTGCTTTGTGGGCCACAAGATCACTTGTGCTTCAGGCTGGAATGCTCTCCTCCACAGAGTCCAGGAACTGACATACACAAACACCCACCCAGAAGGACACATCCAAGAAGGAATGGAAAGAAAAATGATGGCCCAGATGTTCTATAACTTGCAGTGACTGCCAAATCACCACAGACCCCAAGCACCTGGGAGGGCCAGGCAGCATCAGACCTTGCACTTCCTGGTTTTAGACAGCCAGGGACCTGTGGCTGGGTGGCGACTCTGACAGCATGCAGACTGGTGCAGAGAGAAACCTTTAGAAGGGCACCAGCTGACAGCACTTGGGGGCTGAACACGCAGGGCTGATTTATCACTTCCTTACTCATAAAAATGTGATTCAAACTGCTGCTGATTAGTGAAGGATTTAAATCTTTACCCTCTCCCCAACCCTCTTCCCTCTCCACCCCCGGCACAGATGCTGCTACTCAGCCACAACACCCCCTTCTTGCCACTGTCCATGCAAGCACAGCACAGGGGCCCAGAGAAGATGACTCATGTGCTGGGAAATGGAAAAGTGCATCTTCCCACCAACCAGCCCTGCTGAGTGCTCTGCTCACCCCTCTCCCAATGGCAGCCCACACAGTGGGGTCTGGACAGCCGCCTCAGCTGCACACCGGGTACTTGGCAGCATGTCCACAGAGCTCTGTGTCCTAGCTGAGTGTTATATCCTGTGGCCTGGGCTGTTTTTCCCCAAACTACCCTTGAGCCTGTGACCAATCACCCCAGCTCAGGCTCCTCTTGTGTCGTAGAGGTGAGAGCTGGATCATGGCCAGTAATGAGGAGGAGTCACTAGGATAGATTTTTATATGTCATTCCTGGCTGGAGGGTATTTGTTAAGACCAACCATGGAAAATACCTACAATAACTGGCTTCAAATGGAACCACCTACTTCCTTCTTTCTTTGTACTTACCTTACTTCCATTCTTATATTCTTTTTTTAACCTGTACTTAACAGCTATAAGAAAATTCACTGGTGGCCTATGAAAAGTCCAAGGTGCTGGAGGCATGGCTCAGCACCAAGAGGACCTGAGTTCAAATTCCAGCACCAACAAACGAAAAAACACAAAATTTTTACTTAAAAAAAAAAGCATCTGGGAAGTTGGCTCAGTGGTAGAGTGCTTGCCTTGCATGCCTGAGGCCCTGGATTCGATTCCTCAGTACCACATAAGCAAAAAGAAAAAGCCAGAAGTGGCGCTGTGGCTCAAGTGGTAGAGCACTAGCCTTGAGCTGAAGAGCTGAGGGACAGCGCCCAGGCCCAGAGTTCAGGCCCCACAACTGGACGCAAAAAAAAAAAAAAAAAGCAGCCTAGAAATGACCAAGGTATTTCTTTGGACAAAAGCTGTCAAAAACAGATCCTTCACAGGCAAGAGCTACAGGTCCTTTACCTTCACATCTACAAAAACCATAGGTCTTTTGATGTTAATAATGTATTCTAGTTTTATCATAGGCCTCTAATTCAATGGTGGTTAATAGAAGGGAGGAAAATGAGTAGGAGGGAAGCTCTGGAGACCCACTTCCAGAGTTCAGTGAGGTTCCTTCTTGGTAGCAGACTCTTCTCTTTGGACTTTACAGCCTCACCAAGAAACAAACATTGTTTCCTCCTTCTTGAAAACCAGCTCTGCCCCACTGGACCCCATTCCTCCTCACTGTCTCATAATAGCCTCAAGAATAATTAGCCAAGTTCAAAAATGCTCCCAAAGCCTCTGCATCTTGATAGCAGGCTGCTATGATTCAGATGTGATTGAAAGCCCAAGTAGCTAAGGACCTACCTATACAAATCCTTTGAAGAACCCTGTTTCCAGGGAAAATGTAGTACATCCACTAATAGGGGGAAAATTCCTCACCACCAAAAGTTGAGCATTACCCCCCAATTATAAACAGAAAGATAAATAAACTTTAGAGTCAGAGAAAGCTCCAAGAAAAGGTACAATAATAGAGTCAGTAGCATGCTGCCCAGAAATACCTTATCTGAGCTTAGTGTGGAGGTTCACACTTAAAATTCTAGCTACTTGGGAGGCTGAGATTTGGAGATCACAATTTGAGGCAGCCTGCATAGACTAGATTCCATCTAGACTGCATCTCCAAAACAAACAGCAAAATGCAGGGAGGTGTAGCTCAAGTGGTAGAATACCAGCCAAACAAACAAGCTAAGTAAATGCAAGGTCCATAGGACCATCAGAAGAAAAGAAAACACAAAAACCAACCGTCTGCCAATATGCCCTCCTTCTCTTCTCCTCCTACTCCCTATTCCATCTCTGTCTCTGACTCTATGTCTGTCTGTCTCTCTCTCTCTCTCTCTCTTAAACACATCACACACACACACACACACACACACACACACACACACTGTTCAAGAAAGGAGTTCAGAATACATGCCAGTACACTAGCCAAATTTTGGGCCTGGTGGATTTTTTGCTTCCAGATTTGAGTCACCAAAGCTCATCAATTCTCTGTTCTTATTCTTTGGCAGACTCCCACAAGGGATATCCCATAGGGAGCTAGACTTTTCCATAATGAACAAACAGGGTACATGAGTCCAGAAACAGCCATTCCCAGTCCTTGCCAAGTGTATGGTCTCTGCAGTGAAACATTTCAGCAATGCCTCTCCCTTGAGAGAGGCTCTGGGTCTGTAGCTTCCAAGAAGACTTGATGCTGCCTTTAGCATAGCCAGATGTGCAACTTCATCTCCTGGTTTGCAAATTAAGCTCTATAACCATGATCCCCTCCTTCCATCCTACCCAAGCACTTGATAGTCTTACAGATTTCAGAGACTAGACTTTGAGTCAATGGTAGGGAGGGCAGTGTGTGTGTTTGTTGCACAGAAAAAGTGATATGGTAGACAGGACAGAAGCTAGACTAATCTCTTTCTAGGTGAAATAACTAGAGGTTCCTTACCTTTCAGCTGTGAGTTGTGTACAGCAAACATGTTGATGGTCATAAGCTGTAGCATGCGGGTACTTCCAATAGGAGATGGGCTATGCTGCAGCAATACCTGGAACTCCTTGAGAACCTTCTCGGCCACTGCAGGGAATGTCTCCATCCTGCAGATACAGGGAGCCTATTAGTGAGCAACAGTCCCAGAAGTAGTGACTATCCACATACACACCCCCTAAATGCAAACAATTAATGCCTAGGATGCTTCTTTCTTACTTCCGGGTATCATGCCACTTTGCACAAATTTAATAAAAAGGAATAAAGGATTCAGGGTTCAGCTATGAAAACAATTCGTGGGATAATCACTATGAATTATTATTATGCATTGGCATCCTATTTCCTAACCCCAGCAATATTGAGTTCAAGATAACATAGAAGTTTCTCATTAAAACAGTTTTTCTAAATAGTAAAGAAATTCCCTTTAAGCTTGAACACTTCCTTAGTTCTCAAACTCTCTGATATTAAAACTATATTCTAGAGCTGGGCATCAGTGGCCCACACCTATAATCCTAGCTACTCAGGAGGCTGAGATTTGAGGATCATGGTTCAGAGCCAGCCCAGGCAGGAAAGTCCATGAGACTATTATCTCCAATTAACCACCAGAAAACCAGAAATGGCGCTGTGGCTCAAATGGTAGAGCTGAAGAGCTGAGGGACAGCACCCCTGGAGTTCAAGCCCCAAGACCACCACCAACAACAAAATATATATATATATGTGTGTGTATATATATATATATATATATATATATTCAGCCGGGCGCTGGTGGCTCATGCCTGTAATCCTAGCTACTCAGGAGGCTGAGATCTGAGGATCGCGGTTCAAAGCCAGCCCGGGCAGAAAAGACCGAGAGACTACCATCTCCAATAAACCACCAGAAAACCGGAAGTGGCACTGTAGCTCAAGTGGTAGAGTGCTCGCCTTGAGCTGAAGAGCTGAGGGATAGTGTCCAGGCCCAGAGTTCAAGCCCCACGACTGACAAAAACAAAACAAAAAAAAAAAACAAACTATATTCTAAGCTTGGCTTAGAATGTGTTGTTATATGCCTGTAATACCAGATATGCAAGAGGCACAGTAAGAAGGATCATAATCCAAGGCCAATCCTAGGCAAACACAATACTTTATCCAGAAATAACTAAAGCAAGAAAGGGCTAGGGTTGGGAATCAAATCAAGATATAATAGCAAATGTATGTATAGTCTAGGATTCTTCTCATTCCTCTTTCTTTTGATAAGAAATGGACACTGAAATGAACAATTAGGAGATTGTTCATATGGCTTATTGAGGTGCAGTTAGGATAAGACAACTAGTTATATTGCCCCTTTTTCCCTCTGAAAAATTAAAGCATGACATTTTCTTTGGGAAAATAGGTATTTTATTTGTTTATTGCTGGTCCTGGGCTTCTTGAACTCTAAGTCTGGGTGCTGAGCTCCTTTTGCTCAAGACTAGTACTCTACCACTTGAGCCACAGTGCCACTTCCAGTTTTTTCTGTGACTATTTGGAGGTAAGGGTCTCATGGAGTTTCTTGCCCAGGCCGGCCTCGAACTGTGATCCTAAGATCTCAGCCTCTTAAATAGCTAGGACTACAGGCATGAGCCACTGTGCCTGGCTGGTATTATATTTTTATAGCCATTAAAATTTCTGAGTGTAGATTAAAAAAAGAGAGAAAGACTGAGGGCATGGCTCGAGTATCTACCTAACAAGCATGAAGCCCTGAGTTCAAATCCCAGGACTGACAAAAAAAAGAAACAGGAAAGAAAAAGAAAACTATATTCTATAAAAGGAATGTCATGAAACTATTGAGATTATTTACTTCAAGAACCCAGTTATAAGAGCTTGTGTGATAGTACATACTCGCAATCTCAGTACCTGCGAGTTTGAAGTAGGAGGATCCCAAGTTAGAGACCAGCCTAAATTACTAGTAAGACCTTGTACTAGGAAAGGAAAGGAAAGGGAAAGAGTGGGAAGGAAAAGAGGAAATTAGGGAAGGTAATGGAAGGGGAGGGGAAACAAGACAGTTCTGTTGTGGTCTTCTTAGATGTTTTCAAACTAACTGCTCCACCTAAAGATCCCAAATTTCCCCTTCACAATTCTCAAGACCTAGGGCCTCAATCATTTGTTTCAGCCTTTCCTGCACTGTTGTTCTTTTCCCTCTTACAAGCCTCTACTCATCAGGGTCTGTATGTTTTCAGGCCAGTGGAAATATAATGCCCTGGCCAACTGCCACTCCCAATACAGGAAGAGCCTGTAATGGAGGGAGGCAGAAATCCAGCCAGTGACCTAGGGCTCCTAAGGAGAGGTCATTCAAACCACTGCTTGCCAAATGTGGCCACTGGATCCTAAACAGTGGTGCATGCCTGAAGCTCCTTTGGCAACAAGAACAAACCACAGTTGAAGTCCTCCGAAATAAAAAGCAAACTAAAAACTGGTGAGCAAGAGAGAAACCAGGCACACGGGCCTTAGAGCCATGCTAACAATTCGTGGTCAGCAAAGTATCTTTTATCCACCCTCACCTCCCCCTCCCCCCAATCAAAGAAAACTGCCTGTGGTACACTGAGGGGTAGGGTGGGGAACAGCTCTAGGCTGGATTAATAAATAGCTTCTGGAAAGCCACAGAGAAGGGTTTCTTCTCAAAAGACACAAAACAATCTCAAGTTGTAGAAAAAGGTGCTGCTAGTTTTTCACCCCTAATTTGGCCTTTTCTGGATGAACAGTAACCACTACAGATTAGAAAACCCTAAAACTGAATCGAATTTTGGTGATCTTCGTTCTTTGCCCTTGGATGGCAACTTCTATTACTGACCCCTCTGGTGCCCAGAAGTCATGCCACAGCTATGGGTCAATTACAGTTTACATTCCAGTTCCCTTCTCTGCTGAGCTGTCCTCATTTTCATTGGCACAAAACCTGCCATGCATTTGCTTTTTTCCCCCACATGCCATTTCAAGTGCCTCCCCAAAACAAAACAAGACAAACTTTTTCCCCTCTAAAAAGTTTCAGAGATGCCAAAACTCTTGGTAAATTTGGAATGGCAGAGAGTGATACGTTTGGGGCTGGACTGGATCCATTTTTCCCCCATGGGCTATAACAAAGGTTTCATTTTAAATCCTGACACTGTGCAGCACTCTCTCGGGTTGGAGGTGGGAAAGGGGGGCTAGCACGTCTCATTATGAGAAGAGCAGAGTTCACTCTGCTTGAAATTCAGCCACACTGGGCAAGTTTCAGAGCCATGTGTCTCCGTGTTGAAAGGTAGGAAAGAGCCAGCACAGAACGACAGGACAGAAGTATCACGTGAGACAGTCTTGCTTCGAAGCCGAGTCTGAGGAAGCCTCTTCCCTCGGGTAGGAATTGAAACGAGTCCATTAACACTCCTTGGGTCCGACTATAGTCTCATATGAAACCAGAACAAATAGCCATAATGTTATTTTTTTAAGCTTCCTAAAGTCTTCCCTTTGCCTCTGACCAGCACAAAACGATGAAAATCAATACCAAAAAAAAACCCAAAACACAAATAGGAAAGATGTAAGTAGGAGATGTATCTACTAAGAAAAAAATCAGATGCTGGGCACCGGTGGCTCACGCCTGTAATCCTAGCTACTCAGGAGGCTGAGATCTGAGAAACATGGTTCAAAGCCAGCCCAGGCAGGAAAGTCCGTGAGATTCTAATCTCCAATAAAAACCACTAGAAAACCGGAAGCGGTGCTGTGGCTCAAGTGGTAGAGTGCTTGCCTTGAGCTGAAGAGGTGAGAGACAGTGTTCAAGCCCCGTGGCCGACCAAAAAAAAAAAAGAAAGAAAGAAGAGAAAAGAAAAAATCAGCTTTGTTAAGCAATAGCAGAGGAAACACAAATAAGTCTCCTCAGAGCCTAATAATGAGGCTTCTGGTTCTCAGTTTTGGAACAAAAATCCTCTCACTTTTACCTCAAATTACCTCACCTTTGTCTTTCTTTGTCTTTCTTTCTTTGTCTTTAGAAATAATCTTTGCTCATATTACAGAGAGAAAATTATACTAAAAGCAATTTAATAATGGTAGGTTTAAAAAAAACAAGATAAAAGACACGAGTATAAGTATATAAATGCAGTTAAAAGATCTCAAAAGAGGGGCTGGGAAGGTGGCTCAGTGGTAGAGCGCTTGCCTTGCAACCTGAGGCCCTGGGTTCTATTCCTCAGCACCATATAAGCAAAAAGAAAAAAGCCGGAAGTGGTGCTGTGGCTCAAGTGGTAGAGTGCTAGCCTTGAGCTGAAGAGCTGAGGGACAGCGCCCAGGCCCAGAGTTCAGGCCCCATAACTGGACCCCCCCCAAAAAAAAAAAGATCTCAAAGAGCCGGATGCCAGTGACTCACGCCTGTAATCCTAGCTACTCAGGAGGCTGAGATCTGAGAATTGTGGTTCAAAGCCAGCCCAGGCAGGAAAGTCCATGAGACTCCAATAAACCACCAGAAAACCGGAAGTGGCTCTGTAGCTCAAGCAGTAGAGTGCTCTCCTTGAGCTGAACAGCACCCAGGCCCAGAGTTCAAAGCCCCAGGACCAACCAAAAAAAAAAAAAAAGATCTTGAATAAGGGTTGGAAAGATGGCTTAGTGGTAGAGTGCTTACCTAGGATGCAGGAAGCCTTGGGTTCAATTCTTCAGTACCATATACACATAAAAAGCCAGAGGTGGTGCATTAGCCTTGAGCAAAAGCAGCTCAGGGACAGGGCCCAAGCCCAGAGTTCAAGTCCCACAACAACAACAACAAATCTCGAAGAATAAATAACAATATCCCATGTTATCTCTTTGGAGGACCCAGGGTTTGGCAGAGTTGAAATTTTAGCCTTAATCATTATGTTATGTTTCATAATGATTCTCTTAATGTTGTTTATGTAAATTATAAAATTTAAGCCAAGATGATTAAGAAATTGCAGGTACAACAGCAATAGAGGAGGAATTAAAAGATCAGAGTAAATAGTAAAAAACTGGAAGCAACCTACAAAGCAACAACAGGAGATGACTAAGATGGCACATCTGCACATCAAGTACTATTTTTTAAAGGCTGTATTACATTTTGTAATCATGTGGGGGGAACAAATATGCCTTAAGAGTAGTTTTAAAGCAACTTAATATGATCACTTTTTGT